CTCAGATAGAGAAGGGAGCACCAAATAAAGGGTATTGGGAGGATCCTCCCAGGATGGGAGAAGCATGCTGAAAGCAGACTATAGACCAAACATGTTTGCCACTCAATGCCTCTTTCGCAAACCACAACACCCAAAAGGAGAGAGAGAACAGAGGGGAATGCCCTGCCACAGAGGCAGGGTGGGATGTGTGGGATGGGGGTTGGGAGGGATACTGGGATCCGTGGTGGTGGGAAATGGGCACTGGTGGAGGGATAGGTATTTGATCATTGTACAATTGAAACCCAAGCACAAAATTTGTAAGTCTACAACTGTACCTCATGTTGTCTCACTAATAAAAATTAAAAAATAAATAAATAAAATCTCAGGGCTAGGAAGAAGGAGATGTTACTGGTGCCTGCTCGAGACAATTGACAAACAATAGGATGATCGTGATCATGATCATTTCTTTGTTTTTTGAGGTGAAAGCTGTTCATGGCTTGGTGCTACAGCAGATTCTCTTAGACTCAGCTCTGGGTTTTTTGTTTTGTTTTGTTTTTGTTTTTTGCTTTTTGGGTCACATCCAGCGATGCTCAGGGGTTACTCCTGGCTCTGCACTCAGGAATTACTCCTGGCAGTGCTTGCAGGATCAAATGGGATGTCGGGGATTGAATTCTGGTCAGCCTCGTTCAAGACAAATGCCTTACCCACTATACTATCACTCCAGCCCACAGCTGTGTTTTATACCTGGTTCTGACGTACAACCTTAGTTGGAGCTACTGGGTTTCCTCATGCTTATCCTGCCAGTTCCTGGAGACCCACTGGCTCTCAACTATGACATACTGTTTAAACTCCACCAGTGTAAGAATTTTTCACATGGAAAATAAACAGCATTCTTTTATGTACAAAAAAATTACCATCCCTAAACAAAATGGTAATTGTCCTGAACATTTTTAAAACTGTAAAATACATTTAAAATGTACAAAGTAATATACAATTATCAAATTAAGATGCACTGTAGCACTGTCCTCCTGTTGTTCATCAATTTGCTCGAGTGGGCACCAGTAACGTCTCCATTGTGAGACTCGTTGTTACTGTTTTTGGGGTATCGAATATGTCACGAGTAGCTTGCCAGGCTTTGCCAAGTGGCCGGAATACTGTTGGTAGCTTGCCAGCTCTCTGAGAGGGGCAGAGGAATCGAACCCACATCGGCCGCATGCAAGGCAAAGGCCCTACCCACTGTGCTATCACTCCGGCCCACACACATATTTCTGTAATAAAATTAAAAAATCAGGGGCTGGAGCAATAGCACAGCGGGTAGGGCATTTGCCTTACACACGGCCAACTCAGGTTCGATTCCCAGCATCCCATATGGTCCCCTGAGCACAGCCAGGGGTAATTCCTGAGCGCAGAGCCAGGAGTAACCCCTGTGCATCGCTGGGTGTGAGCCAAAAAAACAAAAAAAACTTAAAAAATCAATGTATTTTTATATTTGCAAACTTACAATAATTACAGAAAAAATACAAAAATTGAATAACAAAGTCAAACATTGACAAACTAAGAGAAATTTTTTTAAATAACTGACACACTTCATAACATAAAGAGAAAATCTTCAGTGAGGTAAGGGATGGAATAATGAAAGGCAGACTAGAAGTGACATAAGAACAGTGGTAGAGGATCTCAAGAACTCTGGTAGTGATCGAGTACAGCAACTTTGTACATCAAGGCCATAAACATTAACACTATTGCAATCATGTTGCTAAAACTACAAAAACATTTTATTTATTTATTTATTTATGTATTGGTTTTGAGGTCATGACTGGCAATGTTCAAGTCTTACTCCTGGCTTTGCACTCAGGAATTACTTCTGGCCGTGCTTGGGGGACCATATGTTGGGGATCAAACCCAGATCAGCCTCTTGCAAGACAAACACCCTACCTGCTGTACTGTTGCCCCAGCCCCCTAATTTTTTAATTAAAAAGAAAATATAGAATCCTTCCAAGGTGAAGCATATGATCAAATAACCCGTGAAGGAAAACGTGGTCGATCAGTAGAAAGATAAATCTGGCCTCACAGACACATGCAGAAATGTAGTTTAAAAATACTAAAGGGAATGTCCTGCCACAGAGGCAGGGTGGGATGGGGGAATAGGGGGTGTGAGGGATACTGGGATCCGTGGTGGTGGAAAATGTGTACTGGTGGAGGGATGGGTACTCAAACATTGTATAATTGAAACCCAAGCACAAAAATTTGTAAGTCTACAACTGTACCTCATGGTGTTTCACTAATAAAAATTAAAAAAAAAATACTATGGCACATCTACACAATGGAATACTATGCAGCTGTCAGGAAAAATGAAATCTGCATATAAATGGATGGACATGGAAAGTATCATGCAGAGTGAAATGAGTCAGAAGGAAAGGGACAGACATAGAATGACTGCATTCATTTATGGTATATAAAAATATATATAGTAGAAGAATAATATCCATGGCCAGGGAAAACAGGGGTTAGGAAGATTGGTCAATGGTTGGAACTAATCACACGTGTGTTGGGGGCTGATGGTAGGTAAGATAGAGAAGAGACCACTATGACAATAATAGCTGGGAATTATCAGCTGAACAAGAGCTGAGTGTTAAAAGTAGGTAAGGGATATTCTGGAGAACCTTTCAGTATCAATATTGCAAACCACAGTGTCAAGAGGGGAGAGAGAGAGAGAGAGAGAGAGAGAGAGAGAGAGAAAGAGAGAAAGAGAGAGAGAGAAGAAAAGCAGCTGCCATAGAGGCAGGAAGGGGGTGAAGGGGGGGGTTATGGAAAGGAATCTGGGGACACTGATGCTGGAAAATGTACACTGGTGGACGAATGGGTGTTGAGACACTGTATGACTGAAATACAATCATGAACAGCTTTGTAAAAATAAATTAAAAAAATTAATTAAAAAAATTAAAATGGTGGTCATAATTTGGATTTATCAGCTTGGTGAACATTTGAAAACATAAAACCATGTACTGGGAACATTGTAAAAAACAGTCACTTTCATTCACTTTTGAAGGGTGCTTACCTTAGTAGAATTTTCTGAAAGCAATTTCTATCGAATGATAACATGTTCATATTCTTTCATCTAGTGCACCTATTTCTAAGTGTGTGTCCATCAAAGCAAAGTACAAGTCTGTGGAAGATGTATTACCAGGAACTAAAAATTAAACACTATTTAGAACAATAAAAACACTGAAATAATTCATTTCCATCAAAAACAAATTATTTGAATATCACTGTAGCACTGTCTTCCTGTTGTTCATTGATTTGTTCGAGCAGGCCAGTAACGTCTCCATTGTGAGACTTGTTGTTACTGTGTCTGGCATATGGAATACATCATGAGTAGCTTGCCAGGCTTTGCTTTGCCATGCGGGCGAGATACTTCGGTAGCTTGCCTGGCTCTCCGAGAGGGGCGGAGGAATGGAACCTGACTCGGCCAGGCTGGCTGCGCACAAGGCAAACACCCTACCACTGTGCTATCGCTCCAGCCCCTATTTGAATAAATCATGGTAAATTTATCTATTTAACAAAACACTATATAGTTTTGAAAAGTTATATAGTCTCATACAAAATGATGACCCAAAATAAATTTTAAGTGAAAGCAATGAGAGCATATGTATAATGAGCCATGTTGACTTAGTGAGAGCATTAATTTTTGAATTAAAAAAAAGGTTTTAATAAGGTAAGGTAAAGGTAAAGGCCCTCCCGTTGATCATCGATTTGCTTGAGCAGGCCCAGTAACGTCTCCATTGGAGACTTTGTTGTTACTGTGTCTGGCATATCGAATACTCTCGGTAGCTTGCTGGGCTCTCCAAGAGGGGCAGAGGAATCGAACTCGGGTCGACCATGTTGGCTGCGTGCAAGGCAAACGCCCTACTGTATATCGGGTTCAGAAGCATAGTTCACAAGCATCACCAGGGGTCACTCCTGAATACAGAGCCAAGCATAGTCCCTGAGCACCACTGACTGTGACCCTCCCCGCAACAAAAAGAAATAATTCTAAGTTGTCATTATTACAAAGACTTCATTTTAGAAAGGAGAATTTAAGCATGAATTCATTTCACGAAACATAAAAATGCATTCAATTCAAATTAGTCTATATTTTCATATATAAAGCACAAAGGTACTGTAGAAATTATAGAACACCTATTTCTATACACTTATAGTAGAATTTGCAATGAAATAAAGAAGAAATCAAATAATTTGAGCATACAATCCCAGAGGAAAACTGTTCTACCTAGAGTCACAAATAGATTCTAGTTCTTTATTGTTACCTAGTTTCCATCTGGGTCATCATTTTATCTTACTGTCTACCAATTTAAGACCTTCACAACTGAACTTTGAAGCCCATTCCATTTTATATAATCTAAATTTAAAAGATAAATTCTATCCAAAATATAAAATATTTTCTAAAGAAACAATGTTATTAACCGGCAGCTAACTAAAAGACATTATAATGAGACATTATAATAGTTAATGAGAACATGATATCTTTTTTACTTTATAATGTTACCATTAACTAATGTGATCGATCCACAACTAAAAGTAAAATTAAGGATTGACTAGGTTAGCAAGAGAGAAATGATAATCCTGGAGAATTAAAAACTATGAGTACATATAATAAATTGGAAGATGTTCTTCAGTGAATAAATGTTTGGCCAAAAGCAGGTCACTGAAATAGCTAAGAAATTTGAATTTACTTTTTATGTGATTAAGAACTACTATATATTCATTGAGTACAATAAACACCAAGGTTATTTAGTCAACATCAAATAAAGGTCACTGAGCATCCTTGGACTACACAACACTTGAGGTCCAACAGTAAACCCAACAGGCACAATAACGTTTGGTAAAATTCTCAGTAACATTTGGGAAAATTCCCCTAGAAGTGCTGCACTAGTAGCATTGAGGTTAGGTTCTACTAAATTGTCCAGAAGAATTCTTTTTAATGAATGTTATACACTTTAAAACATAATTTATCTTTAGCATCACTGTCCCAAAGAAAAATGACTTGTCCTCTTTGAAAAGACTCTTCTCAAAGCTCCCTTTATGTCCTGATTCCTCAGGCTATAAATAAAGGGGTTCAGCATAGGAGTCACCACAGTGTACATGACAGCCATGACAGTCTCTTTAACAGTAGAATTGTTTGCTGAAGGGCACAGGTAGAGGCCAAATATGGTCCCATAGAAGAGGGACACCACAGAGAGGTGGGAGCTACAAGTGGAGAAAGCTTTGCGAATACCCCTGGCAGAAGGAACTTTGAGGATGGAGGAGACAATTCGTGCATAGGATGAAAAAATTAACAAGAAAGGAACAATAATGACAAGACCTCCAAAGATAAATATCATCATTTCATTTATCTGAATGTCAGAGCAGGCCAACTTTAGTAGAGCCGACATGTCACAGAAAAAGTGGGGGATCACATTATCAGCACAGAAAGACAACCGAGCCATAAGCAGGGTGTGCAACAAGGAAATGACAGTAGTCAACACCCAGGATAGCACCATCAGAGACAGACAAAGCTTGGGGCTCATGATGGTAGTATAGTGCAGTGGGAAGCAGATGGCCACATAGCGGTCATAGGCCATGACCACAAGAAGGAAACTCTCCACATCTGCAAAAAGTAGGAAAAAGTACATTTGAGTCAGGCAGCCAGCATAGGGAATGGATGGGACCTGGCTCTGCATGTTCTCTAATAATTTGGGGATGGTCACAGAAGAAAAACAGAAGTCAGAGAAAGATAAATTGCTGAGAAAAAAATACATAGGTGTATGCAGATGTGAGTCCAGACAAATGAGGATGACGATAAGGAGATTTCCCAAGACAGTAGTAAGATACATGGCCAGGAACAGGGCATAAAACAGGTCTCGCTGATCTGGTTGAATGGGCAGACCCAGGAGGAGGAATTCTGAGATGATGGTTTGGTTTTCCATTTTCACGTCGTTTTCATTTTACCTTTTTAAAATTAAGAATAATGCTTATGAAAAAGAATAATGCTTATGAAAATGTGTGCATGTACACATATATTCACATTATAGAACCTTCAAAAAGATTTTTTTCCAAGTATATTCCCATAAGTCAAAAGGGTTCAGTTCAATACCGTATTGATCCTCTTCCAAGTATAGAAATAAATATTCACATAAATTAAAAATCACAAAAGCAAATGAAACTATAGATTAAAGTAAATAATATTCCAGAATTTTCTGAAAGTATTTCCTAACTATACCATGGGTAAAGACTGATCTGAAGTTAGGTAAGAAAGTAGTCTGAAAAAATCATTTCTTTGTGTCTCTTAGCAATGAAAATTGTATATTAGTCATAAAACCAGTCATATTTCATATTTCATGTAAATAATGTAATGTCAATGATTATGATGTTGTTGGTGATATTGATAAAAAATGATGTTGATGATGATTATGATGATAATTGGTAATACCGATATGAAGACCACAAAAATTATTGCCAGTGCTTGCTCTTTGTAAATTTTTTTAGTGGGAGCACACACCTGGTGATGCTCGTCTTACTCCTGGCTCTGCACTCAAGGATTACTCTTAGAGGGGCTTGAAAGATCATAGGGGGTGCCAGGGAATGAACCTTAGTCAACTCCATGCAAGGCAAGTGCCTTACTTGCTCTCCTATTGCTCTGGCCCTGACATTTACAATTACAATGCAAACTTATTATGCATTCTCTCATTTATTCCTCACAGAAACCTTATGGCATTATCTTCACTATTATCTTCATTATTCATATTTTAAGTGTAGAAGTATGGCTATTATTGAACCATTGATTAAGCTGATTGAATTTGCATGAACTCCACTCATTATTCTGATTTTTAAATGATGTTTTAACTCATTAAATAACTTTCCTAAGTTCTTACAGTTATGAAAAACACCTGAAAATAAAATCAAATAGCCCAGTTTCAGAACTGGCTATTAGCTAGAAGTGCTTCTGGGACTGGTTCCACAATGCACTTGTATTATATAATGGAAGTGTTGCAGAGAAAAGCACAACAAAAATGTAGTAAAGAAATTCTTAGGGAGGTATTAGGGGCTGTTTCTTATTTGTACCTTGGACATTTATAAATCCATGCTTACAATTCATCCCCAAATACTAATATAACTACTTCCTCTGATAAGACAACACAGATACAACAAAGACATGCAAAGACTTCCTTTTGGGGGCAGTGAACAAATGCATTGTAAATCATGAAATATCATATGCAATAAACTAATTCAAGGAGAGAAGATTAGATGGCATTTTAATGTCCTCAATTATCAATATCTTTAAAATTATTAATAGGGCTGGAGGGATAGTACATCAAGTAAGGCTTGCATGCAGCCAGCCTAGTTTCAATCGCGTATGATACCCTGAATGATTCCTGAGTACAGTTGGACATGTCCCCAAACCATAAATAAATAAATAAATAAAACAAAACTTTATTAATATAAGACATTACTCTTTAAATATCAATCTTCAAATGTTATGTTTCCTTGTTTTCCAATTTCATTACCTTGTTTTTCACTTGCATTTCCTTGTTTTTCACTTCCCCCAAAGTAGGCAGCCATTTTATGCTTATTACCTCAAGATAGATATGTAACAAGAAAACAACAATACCCAAAAGATTTTCTGGCTTTTACATCTAAAAGTGGGTGGGGACAGAATTTTCTGGTAAAGAAAAAATTTCTTAGGACACTTCCAGGTGGAGTAATACTGGCTCTTTGCTGGTGACCTGATATGGTAGCACTACATCCCTAAAATAAATGAATACTTGCGTTCTTATAAATCAATGTTATATCAATTAAAAAATTAAAATAACAGTCTGGACAAAATTTCAGTGGGTAGAGCACTTACCTTTTATGTGGCTGACTGGGTTCTATTCCCATTACCACATATGGTTCTTGAATCAGGAGTAAGCCCTGAGTACTGATGGGTGTGACCCAAAAAACAAAAACAAAAAGTTTAATAGAAAAACAAACTCTTAAGAAAGAAGAATCTGGAGCCAAATAAAAACTTCTCCCTTAGCAAACCAGAAAGACAGCTTCTTGAGTTGGAAGAGAAAAAAGGTGAGACCATCATCAGTGAATCCTAATAACAGTGTGAACTAGACAGTACCACTAAGATGGTAAGAATAAGATATAGTCATTGATGATTCAGTAAAATTTTTAAAAAACAGTACACATGTAATTGTTTTCCAAAATAACTATTGTCTCTAATAAAATGACTGATTTCAGAGAGGGGAAAAAAAACAAAAATTACCAACCGAGAAAGATAACCTACTATGATTTCCCCATTGTTTCTCTGGATCCCTTGGAACCAATGGATTTGCATTGGTATTTTTCCCCTAGTCATGCAATTAGTGTCCCCAGCTACTAACTCAAATCTCACAGGAGCTGCTTAGTATAATATCCCCTCTGGAGAGGACTCTCCATGAGGGCAAGTACTAAGTCAACCTTGTTCATTGCCAGAATCAAGATGTCTACCTATAAGCTTGGGCATCTTCTGATCTAACACCTTATTTATTAATCCTACATACTGTGTGACATACAATAAAGTACCATCAATTCTTCAATATTTTACATCCCACCAAAATAAGTTGCATAGATCATGTTATCTGAACTTAGTACAATAAATTGAAAAGTTAACAACAAAAAATGTTATATACTTTGTGGCCAGAGCAAAAGTACAGCAGGTAGGGCATTTGCCTTGCGACGGTCAACCTGGGTTCAAACCCTGGAACCCCATATGGTTCTCTGAACCCTTCAGGTGATCCCTGAGTGCAGAGCCAGGAGTAACCCTGAAAACTGCTAGGTCTGACCCTAAAACAAACAAAAAACCCAAGTTACATACTCAAAATAGAGAAAGAGTATTCTGAATAACTACTTTTACATCAAAGAAAAAACCAACACTACCCTGAAGTAAAATGCAACATATGGAGTTGTCATAGAAGGAAGGATAAAACTACTTTATATGAATAAATTTTAAAAATAAAACAATTAATTGATAAAGTATTAAACTGAAACAAAAAATGTGGTGAAGCTTTCAGAACTAGAATGAAGTGACTCAAATTAAAATTAACAAAATGGAAACATTAAAGCAATAAAATTAATAGCTTTGACAAAACTCATCAATATAGTTTTTAAAGATATAAATAAGTATAGAACATTAGGAAAGAAATTTAAAGGATATGATGCCAAAGGCATTTCTAAATCTTGCTAAAACTTTTCAAATACATTTGAAAATCTGCACAAAATATTTTCTAAGGAAAGACAAATTCAAAAATTGGGTCAATAATTTATAGCATATACTTATAAATATTAAATATTCAATAAGTTGGGAAAAACTGAAGGCCAATATAAACTAAGTAAACTGAAAAATATTTCTAATAAGTTAACAATAGCATATGAAAGTTTCAGGATTATTTTTCATGGCCTGAGCGATAGTACAGTGGGTAGGGAGACCTTGCATGCAGCTGACCCAGGTTTGATCCCCAGCACCCCATATGAACAAACCCCCCCAAGCACTGCCAGGAGTAATTCCTGAGTGCAGAGCCAGAAGCAACTCCTGGGCATCACCAGGTGTAAGCCAAAATGGAAAAAAAGAGATATTTTTCATCAGAGAAATACAGATTAAAATCTTGAAATATTCTATCACTTCCTCTAAAAATGGCTAAAGTATGCTATGCTCATGGCTGATCTTCACAGACTTGGGATGAGTCCCCCACACCTGAGAATGAATCTACTTAAAAACCCAGGTATGCGGGTTTTGTGACTGAAAGCTCCAGGCTTGCACAGAACTGGGATTGGGTGACCTCCAGTCTTCCTCCTGTGCTTCCAGGTCCCTGGCTGTCATGTGCATAACAGCCATGATTCAGAGACTCATAAATAAATCTCGGAAGAGAGCAACATCCTGAAGACATGCCTCTGGACCCCAAATCACCATCCAGTTAAAAATCTAACTTCAGTTCTAGCACCCTATTTAAAATTGTAGAATTCCTGGAGTGCGCAACATCTCATACTTTATGCCACTGATTTAGCAAGAGTAGCACACCTCATTTGATGGGGTGTAAGGTTAAGGCGACTGATATTATATATTAGCACACAGGACTAAACCTGTAACAAAATGCTAGCGAATTCTTATACAGGGCTTAATGACTCTAGGTGAGATACAATTTTCACACATTTTCCTCTAAAGAAAACTTTTTGGGTCATTGTTAGTCGATTATTCATAACAAGCAATACAAAATAAATTATTTAGCATCTGCCTTTGGAACAGGCTTCAGTGATGGTGAGAAAATTTGAAATAATAGTGGTGGGAAGGTGTAATGATGGTGGGATTGGTGTTGAAATAGTGAATATAATAAATTATTGTGAACAAAAATAAAATGAAATAAAATTAAGGATAAAATGACTAAAATAAAAACATTGACACATCAAATATAAGCCAGTAGCAGGAGAAGTATCACTTACACATGAGTAGATAATATGCAATATAGTAAAATGTAAAACCATTTTGCAAACTATCAGCAAGTTTTGTAATTTTAAAGTTCGCCTATCCTTGTGCTCTAAACTTTTGCCCCTGAAATAGCCAAATAAAAGAAAATAATTTCTGCAAAAGGTATATAATAGAAATTCCCACAGAAGCTCTAGTGGTAGCGTTTAAACTGAGAGAGCTAGATAACCATTGGCAGAGAAATAGTCAAACATATATTCATTTCAATGTGATATGTTCTTCAATGAATGATGGGCCAATAGCAGTGATATAAAGAATGATTCAAACAACCACATGGATAAATCTCAAAAATGTTATTTTGAGCCAGAGATTTAGGTTAATGGTGGAGCATATGCCTGGCATGCGCAGGGTCCTGAACTGGACCCTTGTCACCATATAGACCTTAATCACAACGGGGTATGGCTCTGTAGTTCCCAGGTACTT